AGTTTGAAAAGCATCATCGTTCCCACTTTTCAATACAACCTTATAAACTATCAAAATCGTTTTCTATTATTCACAGTGATGTTTAGGGCCCTAACCGTACTAGTATACTCTCTCTCAAAAAATGGTTTATCACATTTATAGACGACCATACAAGAGTATGTTGGGTGTACTTGTTAAAGGGGAAATCAGATGTTTTCTAGACTATAAAGAATTTTTTTCAATGGTGCAGAACCAATTTCAAACAAATATCCAAGTTTTTAGAAGTGATAATGGCAAAGAATATTTTAACACTATCCTGGATGATTTTTTCCTAAAAAATGGGACTATACATCAAAGTTCATGTCCTAATACTTCTCACCAAAATGGAGTGGCCAAAAGGAAAAATAGACATTTATTAGAGGTTGCTAGAGCTCTATTTTTTTCGAATAAAGTACCAAATTATTTGTGGGGCGAAGCTGTTTTAACAGCTGCGTGTTTAATTAATAGAATGCCCTCCAAAATTCTCAATTTTCAAACTCCAATTAATGTCTTCAAAGAATGTTTTCCTAGTACTCGTATTTTAACTGATTTGACTTTAAAAATCTTTGGTTGCAAAACTTTTGTTCATGAACATAAAAATGTTGAAAAAATTGAGCCACGTGCTATAAAATGTGTCTTTGTTGGATACTCCTCAATCCAAAAAGGATATAAATGTTTTGATCCAAAAAACAAAAAAATGTTTGTCACTATGGATGTTACATTTTTTGAAAGTAAACCCTTCTTTGATAATACTCATCTTCAAGGGGGGAGATAAAGGAAGATTGGTTTCAAATTGAGGACGTGAATTTTTTGAAAAATTTATCTTTGCCTGTACCACAAAATTCTGAGACTTCTACATCTGCACCAACAAAAAATGACCATGATTCTGTATCTGATCCTACTCCTGTTATGAGTAAGGAGCCTTGTGAATCCGAGCCTACATTTTCTCTTGTAGAAAACAATGAGAATCCTGAAAATGATGATAGTGGTGATCTAATTGAAATGCCACAAAATAATGAGTCACTTCAAGAAAGCATATTCGAATTAGGAAACATGACTTGAAAAGGGAAGGTTTTTATGAAAAAGCACCATAGACGAAGGGACGAGACCACATCTCAACATTGTCAGGAATCTGAACTGGGAAATGATCAACCTCCTAACAAAAGGAAAGGTAAGTCTATCTCTCTTTCTGAGAGTCATAACTTATATCATGATATAGATGATCCTGTTGCCATTAGAAGACCTGTCAGATCTTGCACTAAACACCCCATCTCCAATTTTATTTCATATTCAAATTTGTCTTCATCTATGTCTGCCTTCACCTCAAAATTGTCTAGTGTAGAAATTCCAAATAGTACAGGTTGCTCTTGAAATTCCAAAGTGGAGGGAAGTTGTACTTGAGGAGATGAAAACTATTGAAAAGAACAAAACTTGGAGTGTTACGTCACTACCAGATGGCAATAAGACACTTGGATGCAAATGGGTGTTTACTGTGAAGTATAATTCAGATGGGTCAATTGAAAGGTATAAGGCCCGCTTGGTGGCTAAAGGCTTCACTCAGACCTATGGTATAGACTACTCAGAGACATTTGCTCATGTTGTAAAATTGAACACTATAAGAATTCTTTTATCTCTTGCTGTTAACCTGGATTGGCCCCTACATCAGTTAGATGTTAAGAATGTCTTTCTTAACGAGGATCTAGAAGAAGAAGTATATATGGACATTCCTCCTGGTTTTGAAAACAAATTTGGAGCAAATGTATGCAAACTAAACAAGTCTTTGTATGGATTAAAGCAGTCTCCCAGAGCTTGGTTTGAAAAATTCACTCAGTCCATGAAGAATCAAGGGTACATTCAAGGACAGGCTGACCACACCTTATTCACAAAATTCTCCAACGATGGGAAAATTGTTGTTCTGATTGTTTATGTTGATGATATTGTCCTTACTGGAGACGATACAGTAGAAATGACAAGGGTACAAGAGAAATTGGCAGTAGACTTTGAAATCAAGGACTTGGGATCCATGAGATATTTTCTAGGCATGGAGGTTTCTCGGTCAAAGAATGGTATTATGGTTTTACAATAGAAATGCATTCTAGACTTATTGAAAGAAACATGAATGAGTGGATGTCGTCCTGCAGATACCCCTATGGATCCTAATGCTAAACTTTGGGGAAAAGCTAATGTTCCTGTTGATACTGGAAGATATTAGAGATTGGTTGGGAAATTGATTTATTTGTCACACACCCGACCTGATATTGCTTTCTCAGTCAGTGTAGTGAGTCAGTTTATGCATTCTCCTTTCGAAGAACATCTTGAGACAATCTATAGGATACTGAGATATCTGAAGGGAAATCATGGAAAAGGATTATTTTTTAAGAAGACTAGTGAAAGGTATGTATCTATCTTCACCGATGTTGATTGGGTAGGTTCAGTCACTGATAGAAGATCAACCTTTAGATACTGTACCTATGTTTAGGGTAATCTTGTGACGTGGAGGAGTAAGAAACAAGGCGTTGTAGCAAGGAGTAGTGCAAAAGCCGAGTTTAGAGCTATGTCTCAAGGTATTTGTGAAGGATTATAGATCCTTAGAGTCTTAAAAGAACTTAAGATGAAAGTGGAGCTTCCCTTGAAATTGTACTCTAACAGTAAATCTGCTATTAGCATAGCTCATAATCCAGTTCAACATGACAGAACCAAGCATATTGAGATTGATCAACACTTCATAAAGGAGAAGTTAGATGTTGGAATCATATGTCTACCTTTCGTGACTTCAAGTCAGCAAACTGCAGATATCTTGACTAAAAGTTTGGCAAAACCTACCTTTGAGCATTTGATAGACAAGTTGAGTATGATAGATGTCTATGCACCAACTTGAGAGGGGAGGGGGGGGGGATATTTTATTTCCATATTTAATTGTTTCCATTTATTGTCATTTATTTTCTTTTATTCTCCATTAAAGAGAGAATTACATATTTTTATTGTATTCTCATTATATAAACCAGCCTTGAGCTGAGGAATAAAATTACAACATCTTTTATCTATTTCTTCCAATAGTGAGTTTGAAGCTGATTTGGTTGCAAACTGATGCATGTCCATTTGGGCATTTTTATGGTGACATGGAATCAAGGCTAGCAAGTTTGTGGTAACTTTAAATTGGAGAAAGATGAAGGATCAAGATAAGTGAATGAAGATGGAGAAGACTTGGAGTTTGAAGAGAGATATGTCTAGGGATGATTGTTTAGAAATTAGAGTCAGTCAAAGGTTAATGGTTAACTGTTGACCAAAAGTCAATTGTACTAAAAAATGTAATTTTCTTGGTAATACTTGAAGTTAACTTGTGATTGAATTTCGTAATGACTTGTATGGATAACTTAATTTTTAAGTAAATGAAGAAAATTTCCCTCCTTTTTAAATTTGAATTTTGAATCCTCTTTCAATGTTTTAACCATGTAAGAACCAAAATGTATTCAAAGGAAAATAGTAAAGATGAATTGTCAATGAACAAATCAACATGATTTGGTCAAAAAAAGTCAACCTTTCATGGTTGACTTTGTTGGCCAAAACTCAACTCTTGTGTGAATGTTTTCAATTTCTTCTTTTTTTTTTCTTTCAAAAATGCATCCAAAATGTAGCCATGATCCAACTTGAATAAGAAAGTCTCAATAAATAGGTCAACAAGTCAACCTCCCATAGTTGACTTTGACCAAAAGTCAGTTGAAGCACACTCTTTCTTCTTTTCCAAGTAATAATCCAAAATGACTTGATCCATGAGTAAGCACAACAAAACCCTAGTCCATGAGACCAATAACATCCACTTGAAATTCACAACATCTTGTTCCATAAGTAACAATAAGAGTGCCAATTATAATCATCTGATTAAATCCTCAATATCCTAAATGTTGAAACAATCCAGTTGGAATCATGAACCTTTTGAACCAATAGTGTTACCTTATGCAAATGAATGGTTGGGATGGGTGTATGCAGATGAATTCAAAATTATAAACCAAGTGAAGTTGAATGAAAAGGTAGGACAAATTTTAAGGTATGACAATATACAATAATATACTTATTTTTGAAATTCACTTTGATTTATCTCATAGTTAAGGTATTGATTGAAACATCTTTCTCACGTATTTAATTGTGCTAACAAAGAAAAAATTATTAAATATTTTTCAAATATAATTTTTTTTATAGTATTACCAATGTAAAAATTATTAAACATTTTCCAAATATAAAAATTCATAGATGATTATTGTAACTTATATAAGTTTCTATGTATGCTGCATTTTTTTCATTATAATTATTCATTTTATAAAAATTTATAATACTTTTGTTTAATCGAATTACATATTTTTTTTTAGCCCCACTAAAATAAATTTCTGGAATAAAATATATGCTCAAATTCATATATGATTTATAAACGTATTGCAACTTGCTTTCTAGTTGTTGATCCTAAATATACTTTTACATTGTATTGTAGGCATACATAAATTAAATTCTTTTCACTCCTTTATTTAAAAAAATTAAATTCTTTCCTCAAATTCTTAAACCAAACGATTCTTTGATTGAATAAACCAGACATTACTTGACATACTTCTTGTTTAAACTTTCAAATCCAGTCCAATTTTCAGACAAATCCTTCGGAAAAAAAAGCTAAATTCTAACATGATATTCTCATGCCTCTCCAAAATGGAAGCCACTCATGAAGAACAAATCATTTTAGTAATGTTTTAATAAGCATGATTGGCCTCTTATAATGCTTGACCAACAGAAAAGCCACTTGATAAATATAAAATAAGTAAATAAATACATATTACTTGAAATATCAAGTTTCCACATGGTATGGGTTACCTATTGTAAGCAACAAATGGGAAAATCTTCCTGTAGTAACGGTTAATGGAGTTGGAATTGTTCTTGAATTTTCCTACCTTATTATTTATTTCTGGTTTTCTTCACCCAAAACGAAGGTGAAAGTAGCTATGATTACCACATTTGTTGTTGCTGTGTTCTGCATAACTGCAGCAGTTTCGGCTTTCGCATTAGACAATACTCGTAATCGAAAGTTATTTGTTGGTAGCATAAGCTTCTGTGTTTCTGTTGCATTATACGGTTCTCCTCTCGTTGCGATGGTGAGACAGAAGCTTTTGAGTTTTCACTTGAATAAAAACCAAAACAGAGGAATATTTTTAGATATTAACGGAGTTTGGATTTGATTTTTGCAGAAGAACGTTATAAAAACAAAGAGTGTGGAGTTTATGCCATTACCGTTATCTCTATGTGCTTTCTCAGCTAGCGTATTATGGTTAGGTTACGGAATCCTCGTTCGCGATGTGTTCATCGCGGTTAGTTTCTTAATTACTCTCAATCATGGAAGAGTATATTAATATTAATGTTGTAGTTTGATTAATTTATGGTGTTATGATATTTACAGGGTCCAACTGTGGTTGGAATTCCATTGAGTATTTTGCAGCTTGTGATTTACTTCAAATACAGGAAAGAGAGAGTTGTGGATGAAGCTGAAATTGGGGATTTGGAAAAGGGTGGGTTAGAGTTAGAGAAGGTGGTGGAGTTGGATTTGGATTTGGGGAAAGTGGAAAAGAATGTCACAAATTGTGAACAATTTTGAGGGGAAAAGGTTCAAGATTTAAGAGAGTTATTTATATTCATATTCTATATGTGTTTTCTTTTCTTTCTTTCTTGTATGCTAAGAAATGTCTTCCAAAATTGGGCGTAATAGTCAAATCAAATTGTTGCTTCTCCTAAATGCTTCATTTTCATGATATATGAGTATATAATATCATTTTTTTAAAACTTTTTAAAATATTTAACAAAGATTAAAATATATTATTTTAAAAAAATAACTCGCAAACAAATTTTTATAAAATTGAATGCGTATCATAAAAAGATACTTCATTGGTCTTATGTTAGTTGTATCTTATGAGTTTTACACACTTAAAATCAGTGTGTTTATTCAATGATGAAATGAATATAATTTATTAAAATATCTTTAATAAATGTAGGTAGCAAGAAGTTACATTAATTAAAATATAACAAGTTAATAAATAAATATTAAATATTACATTGTTATTTTGAATGAATAAATGATTTCAATAAAAATAGTAAAAAGGACAACTACTTTAAGACAAATAAGAGTAGAAAAAAGAGAAAAATATGTACTAATCAATTGGTACTGACTACTATTATTTTTGTCTTTAATTATCCTAATTAATGGAACATTGTTTGTGGATAGAATGGATGAATGGGTTAATATTTAATTTTTTTTAATTTTCAATTTATTTTCATTTGATTGCTTATGTTTTTCTTTTTACTTTGATTTCCTTGTTTTGTTATTAGTTAGATCTAACTCCTATTTTTGTAATTATTTTTTCTTTTATAATATAGTATGTATTTTGTTCTTATATTTTTCTTTTATTTATCGAGCCATTGCTCCGAGAACTTTATCGGGCAAACCTCATTTTAGTCGTGGCACCCTCACACTTTTCAATTATGAAAAAATATCCTTGTTATTATTTTACCCCATTTAAAAGTGATTGTTTGGAAGGAAAAAAAAACCACTCCCAAAAAAATCGGTAGTCTATTTAAAAATTTTGGTAGACTTTTTACGGATTTAGAAGCAAAATTTGCATTTTTACCATATTTAAAAAAAAAACAGTATGAGTTTTTACTGAATTAAAAAACAGATATTATCCCAGTTTATCAAAAATTTTAAAAATTTAGTATACTGATTTTTTAGTCCTCTCCTAAAATATTTGGTAGTTCAATTCAGCGTGCTCTCCTTATGCACACCTGAGATGGATGGTTCTTCTATAAATTTTATCTAGTTCTTGATCAGTGATTTTATATGTTTTACTTACATGTTTTATTTGAACTTTTGAAAAGTTTGGTCGAGTTATGTTATCTATAAATGATTTATTCATTATATGTTTTAATTGACATATATTTCTCTACCGAGCAGATGCGTTATCATGAGCATAATCTATTTGGAGACGTCATGGTATTATTGTTGTTAGTGTTTATTCTAATACAACAAATGGGCAAAGAGGGGAGAAAGATAAATTGATTATGGGTTGTGATAGAGGAGGGAAACTACAAGATCCAAAATTGCTCTCAAGTCACTTGTAGTATAAGATTTAAATGTCCAATGTCCATTGTCATATCCTAATTTTTGACGCCTAAGATCTCACTTTTTTTTTGCATCATCTGTATAGTTTATCATCTCTTGCATTTTTCATAATACTCAATTTATCAGTTGAAATAAACTTGTTGGATTAACAGTCGAATCGGTCAAACTAAAAGTCAATCATGCGAAAAATCAGTGGACGAAACATTTTAAAATCGAGTCTGGAAATGTCAGTCATATTAATTTGCATTCCGCGTAGTTTAACCTAGCGTGCTCATTTAAACTTTTGACCATTTTTTGATCGTATTTTTGGACAGTTTAAACCATTTAACCGAGTAAAATTTATTTTAAAATTTGACCTTTTCCAGTACGTATATTTTGCGCTGATCATTTTGGTGTATTCATTTTATTTTTTTGAACACTTCGATACCGGTCCAATTACACGTTTTTTTTTACCGTTTTCTTTATTTCTTTTTTTAATTAATTATTATTTAAATTAATCATTTTTTTATTATTATTTAGTTTTTCTATTATTTAAATAGTTTGTTTTATTTTATAATATTAATTTTTTGTTTTTAATTAGTTAAGGTAACACTTAAATATTAAGTTTGTTAAAGTCATTTTGTTTTGTATCCATTTTGATATAATATCGCTGCATGCATGCTTCGTAAATAGACCATTGTTTTTCATGAAAAAATCATAATGCACTTTCTCTTTCACCAACCTGTACATAACAAAAAGAAACAAAAAGTCTGCTACATGAACATCGCATACACACATAAAAAGTCTTCATCTCATTACTAAACAACACAAAACTTTGACCACTACTCCACCTTCATGCTTTAACCATATTTGGACATCATTCCTCCTCCTCTTAAGATATCCGTCTTCATTCTTACAAAAAGCCACCTCCAAACTCATCTTCAAGTTTTCATACACACTACCACTATGCACCATTCCACCGTATACACCATATCACACTATCAACTAGTTCCTTAACCTCGCTTCTTACGCCGAACAAACCAAGTTGTCACATCATAAGAACTCACCATCACCATATTCAAAACACAAAAAACCTGCATATTCAACCTTTCTCAAAACACATTTCATGAACTCCATTGCTTTCTTCACCATTTGATCATCATCTTCTCTAACCTTCAACTTGTTCATACAAAGCTTCACACCTCATAAGCACTCAATCTCTCACAAAACACCATAAAACATCATCAACCAAGCATCTCTCAAACTTCCGCCGAAATCTCAACACCAATAACTTCAACATATGCACGTGAGCATACCTCATATCTCCATTGCCGTATTCGAGTCTGATGAATAAAAACATTCAAGCAATTAAGTTTGGCGGTTACGTATTCGCCATTGTTTCGACGTTTCCGACTCAACGACACGAACGATATCATTCTGACCATATATACTTCCTTGTTTTTTCCATTGTCTATTTTTGTGTATTTGAAATCACCAGAACTTATCTTATTTTGTTGATTGTTTGAAAGCGGGATGTATTATTTTGGTGATTGATTTTGTTTGTTAAGAAATATGAGTGAAAGCTTAATGTAACATGAGATTCGTAAGATATTTATGTTAAGAAATGTGAATGAAAGCTTACTTTAACATGAGTTTGTTTTACTTGTTGTTTTTGTTTTTTTTAAATATGATAAAAAAATGTGACTATATATCACTCTTGGGGTGAGTTTTTTTTCTTTAAAAAAAATAATTGAAAAGAAGGCTATTATTTCTCTCTTACAGTAGCAGCGCCTCCCTCATGTGTTAGTCTTGTTTATATTTTTCTCTTTTTTAATTTTATTTTTTTAATTTTTATCTCTTTTACATATTTAATTAGGGTTATTTTGTCTGATCGGGCCTTAAGCCCATGTTAATTGTAACATTTATCATGTGCATCCTTTTAGAATAATGTGTTGATTAGTTATTGTTATTATTATTTTGTTGTTTTAATTACTTTTTTTTAATATGTGTTTTAATTGTTTTTTAATATATATGATATTTGAAATACTAAACAAAGTATTTTTATCTTTTGTTTTAATATTTTTATTAAATTCCAGTGACATAAAAAAATATAATATATAAAAAATAATAGTTTGGTTATTAATTGATTTAAATGTTTTATTTAATATTGATTAATTAAGTTATTAATTAATCTTATTAAATATTAATATTTAAATTGATTAATAATTCTCTGTTACCTGATTCTATGTGATGCCTTGTCTGTTTTCATGTTTTCGTTTTGTTCTATTGGTTAATTTTGATGTTGTTTTATCCATGATTAATCTGATATCACGATGTTTTGTCGTCACTGTTGTATTTGTCTGTGAATTTTACACAATGTTTTGTCGTGTACCATGTAACACCCCAAATCCAAACTTGCGGATAACAGGAAAAACAACCATTCATATAGCAAACAAAGCGCAGCAGCGCAAACATTGACTGCATGACGGTCGTCATGAGCCTGTGACGGTCGTCACACGGGCAAAATTCCTCACATCAGAGATGTTACACTTCAACCTGACAGACAACAATCATTATGCAACAACTTGCAATTATCATACGTAGCACGAAATTAAATGAACAATCACCAATGTATTACTTAATCATTTAATCATAAAACAACTCGTCATTACTTCCGGTGGAAGTTCGATAAAGTATACAACATGTTCTCTTAGACCAATTTAATAAAAACATCATAACAAGTTCAATCAACAATAACATCGACTAAAATAATAACAGCAATTATCCATCCCCCCAAGAGTGCTACGTATCAAAGCGACCAACGACACCTTAACGGGAACTACGCTTTATTCCTGACTACCTGCAAATTACCACCAGAGGAGGTAACATACAACGGAAAAGGGTGAGATATCAATAATATAACATAAAGCATGATAGAAAACATGCCGGAAACTCATCACAACATTATAGGTTCCGAAATCATAAACATCATCGACAACAACTGCGAGTAATCCATATCTCACATAAACAACATTAACATACAACTAGCGTAATTATGCGACTTTATGCGACTCAACAATGCGACTCAACTGTGCACATGCATGTGGTACCATTTTGGGAGACAACTCTCCACAACTCGGAACAGGGCCAACACCCCGAACCCATCTAGGAGCCAACACTCCAAAACTCGGGACAGGGCCAACACCCCGAACCCATCTAGGAGCCAACACTCCAAATAACGCCAATACAGGCACAACCGTTGCCAATCCAGGCCAAATGTTATGCCATGAAATGCATCTATTATGGACTACAACACAACCATAGCAACCATATAACAAGGCATTATGCCTACAACCAGAATGTCCATAACAGAGCATCATAACATCATACCACTCATACAACCATCACTTTCTACCCGTTCACATACGGGAACAATAACAATATAATTTCAACATTTACGACTGTTCATGTAAAGGAACATTACAACATCGTACCAACAAATA